CCCCAAAACCCCAAAACCCCAAAACCCCGTAGAATTAGATTTAATCTTAAATGCGTATCTATAAAAATATAATAATAAATCTTTTGATTATAATTATTAGCAATTACTTCCCGATAACGCATTTAAAATGAGTTTGATTCCACACTCCAACATCAGAGTCGACAACTTCTGCTTTATGAGGAATGACTTGACTCAATACATATTTTTCCTATCCCACTGCCACGAAGATCATGTCAAGGGCCTAAACCCCTCTTGGAATTATGGAAAGATATACACTTCTAAAATCTCTAAAATTCTCATCGTAGATAGATTTCCTAATCTGAAGGATTTGGTAGTTGAACTGGAAATGGATGAAGAGCATTGGATATATCTCGATGACTAGCAGTAGGAGGGAGTCTCTGTAATGCTGATGGATGCTTATCACTGTCCAGGAGCAGTTATGTTTCTATTCAAAGGCAAGATGGGCAATGTTTTCCATACTGGTGATTTCAGATTTTCAGAAAGAATATTCTCAAATGAGATTCTTTTTCCATCTGAGTGATGAAATTAAGATATGCAGAGGATATCAATAGATATAGATTACGTTTGCTGATCCAGAGTATGATTTCCCCACTAGAGAAGAAGCATATAATCAGCTCAAAGATACTATTAAGGCTCATGCATAGCATAGAATCTTCCTTTTTTCCTATCACTTGGGCAAGGAAGAAGTGTTCGTTAATCTAGCAAATGATTTTGAAACTCTTGTTGTGGTGGACGAGGATCGCTTTAGAAAGCTATGCATTATGGACTTGAGTATAGATTTGTTTACTACTGACTCTACAATGGGTTGGATTCATATCAAATCCATTAAAGATCTTAAAAATTTTGACATTTAAGAGAGTAATAAAGAAGAACCTACTGTCTTTATTATTCTTACTGGGTGGAACGATAAATACAACAGAAATCTCCCCTTTTATTTTAAGATTCCATATTCCAGCCATTCAAATTACAGAGAACTGGAAAGGTTAGTCAAGTCAATTATGCCTAAAAACTTGGTATTCAATGTACCAGAGAGAGCAATGTCAGAAAAGCGTTTAAATTTCCAGAGACATTTGATCAGTCAGTATGTTGTTAAAGGTAAGAAGGATAAGGTAGATGCTAAAATGTTTAACCCTAAAAAGGGTTATATATGTGGAAGTGCTAAAAAGGCAGATATAAAATGTGAATCAATTGATTTAATAAAATCAGAGATAGATATTTTCCAACAAAGTTCATAACCATAAAGCAAGGATGCTATAGTCGGATATAAACATGGAGATAATTACCTTTCTGAGAGGTTCAACAATAATAATAAGGAACTAAATCGCTGAAGATTCCTGGAGTAAAACTCACACATATTCAAAAATCACTTGAAATTGACTGAAAGCAAAACAAGAGGAGCCAAATTCGTCAATCAAGAAATTAATTTTAACCTTACCCCTTAAAGCTAAGATTAGCTTATGGTTAAAAAAGAAGAGGATCAAACAGAAACGAAACTAAAGACACTTAAGAACTCTGAAGAGTTTAAGTTAGACTCAATAATTAAAGGTGAGTCTGATTAAACTAAATAATTGAAAAATGAGTTTAAGATTAAGAGAGAGGAATTCAATGATAAAACCCCAGATTATAATATAAAATAGGAGCAAACAGATGATTATTGTATAAAGGATGAGAATTAAAATAAAAGCACTAAGAAATCAAGAACTAAAGAAAAGTTGTTTAAAAAGTAAAAGAAGGATAAGAAAAAGAATAAAAAGCATAAGAAAATGATTGAAAAGCTAAAAAAACAAATGTTTAGTAGGAGTGATGAGTAAATACTATAATACAGTGAAGACTTTGAAGGGACACCATCTTATGAAGCAGAAGACTTGATTGGTAAAGACATTGATCTGAAAAAAGAGGATGAAATTGATAATATGGTCGATAACTTAATTAGTCATCCAGTACTTGATTGTAGTTCTGAACTTACATTGAAAGCTGAAAGTTTAGATATAAATTCTCTCACCAAGTTTGAAGAATAAGGATAATCAAATGTTGAAGTTCTACCACCAAGTAATGTAAGAAAGTTGGAGGGGATAGATAAATTTAAAATAGTTTATATGCCAAGAGATTCAATGTTTAATTATTTAAGGGAAAGATATTTAGCTAATAAAGCTTAGCAGTATCCAACTGAAATTCTGAGCTAGGAATAAAGCTGATTACAACATCTAATTTTATTGTAAATAATAATTAATTTTAGTTAAAAATAATCATTACTCAATCTTTTATTATAAATATCAAACATGGGGTTTTGGGGTTTTGGGG